AGGCAGGGATGAGAAGAGGTCCCTCAGACAGAAATGGTTGACATATGAGTAGGTAGAGACTGACTCCAGCAGAGAGTTGTGTCAGTGAACCAAAAGGCAGACCCAATCCTACAGTGAAGAACTCCCTCTGTACCACATGGAAAGAAGTCATTCTACATCACAGTTGAAAACCACAACAGGGAAAAGCCACAATGAACTGAGCAGGAAATGAGGACCATTATCTGTCACCAGCTGTAGCGCCGCAATATTCTTAGCACTGGGTAGAAGACCCAGTTCAGGGAAAGCAGAAGCAAAGCCCCTTGCACAGATTGATAGAAAGGGACAGAAGGCAAGTAGTCTTGTCTCAGGTGTACCTCAGCTCTAGTGAAGGGAAAACCACCATTTAGTGTTCCCAGAGGCTACACAGGACTGCAGAGAAGAATGCCTCAAAGGAAGTGACTGGAATCCCAGAGATAGTGTTATCATCCACTGTCCCTGTGTTAATCATGTATATCAGGATGCTCTATGAAATACCAGACAAGATTCCTTGGGTGAATCTGATATCTTTTATTAGACCAACCCAAATAGTTGGAAAATAGTTATTAAGCAAGCTTTTGGGTTCAAAAACCCTTCGTCAGGCTAAGGAAGTTTCAGCAGTTGGTGTGCGCTCTTCCTGGATGGAATGAAAAGTAAAGAAGCCAGAGGCTGGGGTGGGATGCATACCAGACAGGTAGTCAGTGAAAATGTAGATTGAGGAGTCAATGGGTGAGAGACAGGCGTGAGGGGGTGGGGAGGAAGGAGAGAGAAGGAGGATGAAAGTGAGAGATACCTGGGGAGTCAGATGTCAGGCAGGGTATAATGTGTCATAAATCCAATGTCTATATTTAGTCCATGATTTTTAGTATCCAGGAGGTTGATGAAGTGGAGTTCATAGGCTCGTCTCTGGGAAGTGTTTTGTAAGCTTCCTTTGAGGATCAGGACTGAGACATTGGAGAGAGAGTGGTTTCCTTGTGAGAAATGTGCTCCCACAGGTAATTGGGTATTTCTGTCTTTGATAGATTTCCGGTGTGCATTCATTCTGGTGCGCAGTTGCTGTTTGGTCTCTCCTACATATTTTCCATCAGGTCATTTGGTGCATTGGATGAGATATATCACATTTCTGGAGGTGCAGCTGTAAGATCCAGGAATGCTGATGGCTCTGTTGTGGGGTGTAGCAATAGTGGGGGTGGTGGAGATGTGTTGGAAGGTTTTGCATTTCTTGTCCTGGCACAGTTTGGATCCTTTTGGTGTGTTCTGGGCTTGAGGAAGTTTGCTTCTGGTGATGAGGTTGTTTTCTTCTGTATTGCAGTGGTTCTTCATGTGGTATCCAGGTGGCTCTTTCAAACGTGAGATCTATCTCTCTGGAGGAGTGTCCTTGTTGGGTGAAAGCCTTTTTAAGATTGGTGAGGTGGCGATCCTGGGTGTTCTCTTCAGTGCAAATGCGGTGGTATCTGAGGGCTTGGCTGTATATCACAGCTTTTTTGGTGTGTTTAGGGTTATTGCTGGTTCTGTGCAGATATGTAAGTTGGTCTGTGGGTTTCTTGTATAACATGGTCTGTATTTTATCATTCTGGATACTGATCATCGTGTCTAAAAAGGAGATGTTGGTGCTGGAGTATTCTAGAGAAAGTTGGATGGAGGGATGGCGATTGTTGAATTTCTGATGGAACTCAATCAGAGATTGTAGGGTTTCAGTCCAAATGACGAAGATGCCATAGATATATCTTAAGTATAGCAAGGGTTTGATGGTGCAGTTCTTGAGGAAGTCTTCTTCTAGGTGGCTCATAAAAAGGTTGGCATACTGGGGGGCCATTTTAGTGCCCATAGCTGTTCCCATCATCTGGAGAAAGTGTGGATTATTAAAAGTGAAATTGTTGTGTGTGAGGATGAAGTGTATAAGGTCAGTAATATCTTCGGGTCTGTATTCTGAGTTGTAATCTTGTTCCTGTAGATATGTAAGGCAGGCTTGGATGCCATCCACACCAGGATATAATAACCTATAACCTGCCTGACATCTGACTTCCCAGGTATCTCTCCACTTTCATCCCCCTTCTCTCTCCTCCCCCCGCCAGCCTGTCTCTCACCCATTGACTCCTCAACTTACATTTTCACTGACTACATGTCTTGTATGCATACCAGCCCAGCCGCTGGCTTCTTTACTTTTCATTCCATCCAGGAAGAGCGCACACCAACTGCTGAAACTTCCTTAGCCTGACGAAGGGTTTTTGAACCCAAAAGCTTGCTTAATAACTATTTTCCAACTATTTGGGTTGGTCTAATAAAAGATATCAGATTCACCCAAGGAACCTTGTCTGCCTATGTCCTTAGACCAACACAGCTACAACCTACACCCCTGCTATGAAATACCAGAAGCTTGATGGGTTTTTGCAGTAGGACTTGCAATGGCACACACAACCATAATCCACAGCAAACCTAAACCTTTATTCTTGCAAACCCTGGTTGGGGCAAACAGATCAAGCCATGTCAACCAGCCTTCAGCAGCAAGGACTGCCCAAGTGAGTGGCTGAAGAAAAATCAGGCGTTATCCCTGCAGAAAGTATCCCAGGAAGGCTTGTTCCTTTTCAAGCAAAGTGCTGCCTTCTTACATGGAGCTCCTGGCTTCCACACAGACTACTAGAGTATACATGTTAACAGGAGGACCAAGAAGCTTTCCCCTTCCACCAGACAGGAGAGGGCCAGGTGGATCCTTAAGACAGCGAGAACAGGAGCAGACTGAGCCAGTGCTCCTGTTACCAGGCATGAACAGGAAAACCACCAATCCCACACTAATTCAGGCCTTTCAACCCCATTGCTTTTAGGAAGCCTTGAGCATCCCCCTTTCAAATTTTCCTTTCCTGACATAAAGACCTTTATCCTGATCATACTCTATGAACTCCCTCACTTAAGAGTGGTACTCAGCACTGGTGTAATGTTCAAAACAACTGGAAGGCCAAGCTTCTCCCCTGCTGCAGGAAGGGGAAGGTACCTCTTGGCAAGAATGAAAGGCACCATATACCACTCTACTCAGTCACTATCAGACCAAAGACTGTGTGTGAAGGGGCCTATAGGGAAAG